CAGATAAGTTTATCAACGATGCGTCGCTAAGAGGCTCAAATGGAGGACCAGTAAGCAGTTGGAGGAGTTAGTCTCTTAATTGGGGGATGCTCAAGAAACATCCCCTGGAGTAGATGTTTAGGAGCAGTATTGTCAGACACCGTCGAACCATCTGGAAAGCCATCGTGTACAGCTGCAATGGCTGACCGGTAGTTACGGATAGTTGAAACCTGGAGATCTGATTTGAAAAGGTGCATGAAGAAGTTAGCTACAGAGGTCACAGAAACTTCAGTCGGAGACAAACCTCGCTCTGAGCACCACAAAGTAAAATGTTGTAATCTGGAGTCATAGATGTCACGTGTAGACTGGCATCGACTCTTTGAGGCCATTTCGGCAGCTTCATCAGAAAGTCCTGCTGATCTGAAGGACTGTTTGACAATAGCCAACATGCCAGGTGTGGTGACGTCGGATGAGGGTGAGGCATGCCTGACTTCGGCTGATGTAGCAGATCCAGTCTGTCGGGAAGGATCACCGGTACCCAGATGAGAAGTCTTGTCAAACGAGGGAACCGTGGCTGGCATGGCCAAAAGGGGGCGTTGAGAAGGGAGCGGTAGCGTTCCCTTTCGATCTTGGAGAGAAATGCCGGTATTAGGGATATCGGAGGGAAGGCGTAGGCTGACATCTCTTCCCAATTGATTTGAAGAGAGTTCGTTGCCCAGGCTTGCGGGTGGTAAAACCTGGTGCAGAACACTTGCAGTTGGGCATTCTCTGCTGAGGCAAAAAGATCGATGTTCGCTTTCTCTATTTCGGCCAAGATCTGTTCGACTACACTGGCGTGCAATGTCCACTCCGGGAGACATACCTTTCCCGAGAGAGAGCATCTGCTATGGAGTTGTGGACACCAGGGATATGAGTGGCCTGGAGGTGGATGCCATAATTCTGGGCCCAAAGGAATATCTGTCTGCGGGGAGAATGTGTGCCTCCCTGGCGATTGATGTATGACACCACTGTGGAGTTGTCCAAGCGGATGAGGACTCGTTTGCCTATGATACTTGGGCGGAAAGCATTCAGTGCATTGAATACGGCCTGAAGTTCCAGTATATTGAAGTGATTCCCTTGGAGCTGGAGGTTCCATGTTCCCGATGCTTGAAGCGGTGGTAGGGAGGCTCCCCAGCTCAGATGAGAAGCGTCCGATGTTATAGTTATTTCCGGGTTCACCTTGGGGAAGGGAACTCCGAGAGAAAGGTGCTCCTTCACTAACCACCAATGAAGATGGGGGCGGATGAAGTCTGATATGGGGTTCTGGAAATTGATTGAGTCCCATTTGGGCCTGTAGAGTGCTTAGAGATGAAGTTGCAGTGGGTGCATGTAGAGCCTGCAGAGGGGAATGAGGTCCACAATGCTGGTTATCAAGCCTAGGAGACAGAGCCAGGTGCGGGCCGGAGCAGACCGCTCGGTAGAAAAGACTTTCAAGCAGTCAAGAAGATTGTCGATGCGTTCAGTCGGTAGGATTTTGCCTTGTTGAAGGTCGATGGGTGCCCCTAGATATGTCGGGTATTGAGTTGGGGTTAGATTCGACTTCTCATGGTTGATGATGAAGCCCAGCTGATTTGTGATGTAGTAAGTAAGACAGGTAGAAACCTCTGCTTTGTTGAACGATCTGCTGACGATCAGCCAGTCATCCAGGTACTGGAACAGCATGACATCCCACCTTTGAAGGTGAGCAGCCACAATCTTTGCGACACTCGAGAACACTCTTGGTGAAGTGGAGAGGCTGAAGGAGAGCCATGAATTTGAAGAGGCCCCTGTTGTACAGGAAGCATAGGTATTCGTAGCTTTGAGGGTGAATCAGAATGTGGAGGTAGGCATCTTTCAAGTCTATGGAAGAGGCCCAGCATGGAACCTGTAGAGATTGGGTGACGGACTGAAGGGTCTCCATGCGGAATTTCTTCGGGTGGATAAAGCGGTTTAGAGGTTTGAGGTTGACAATAGGTCGCCAGCTTTTGAGTTCTTTCTTTGGAGTGAGGAAGTATGTTGAGATGAAGCCTTTGTTTGCTTGAGATTTGGGAACCATAACTCTCCTGCCGTGGGGGTCTGAAGGGCCGAGCCCGGCGATCATCAGGACGAGATTGGCGAGGTGGAGCCACCGCTGGAAGGTCACGGAAGCTAAGTTTACGTGTTGTGTCAATACATTTAACTTCAGACTCCATCATCTCCATGAACTTCCCCGTGAAAAGGTCTTTGCCATAAAGAGGAAGATCCTGAAATCTTGACTTGACTCCCTCATAGGGAATGTTCATGGAATCTAAAGTGTTGGATCTATGTGCAGAAGTGGCTAGAACGGAGATCCGAAAGAACTTGAAGGAAGGAAGGAAGCATGTGCAGAGGCCTCAGCTGTAGACTGATTGGAAGGCAGGCCTAATATGTGGAGCATATCCTTCTGAAGAAGTCGGAGCTGTGCCTCAGGAGGGCTAAGGTTGGCTGCAGAGGATATCCTCATCTTCAGAGGGCATATCCCGCTCCATCCAGAGTTGATCTGAGAAAGGAGGAACATCATCATGTCTTGTTGGGTGGCCAGTGGCCAGAGCAGGAGGTGGAGATAAGTCAAAGGGGTGAAACCATCAAATGAAGATCGGATCGCCGATGAATGCAGGTTCGGATGCAGATCCGGATGCGGACCCAGGTGTGGATGCGGATCCAGGTGCCGATGTGGGTGCGGATCTGGATTGTGCCAGCAAAGGATCCGGATCTGGGGGAGTCGCCGCGGGAGCAGAGGTGGGCTCTAGACAGCTGGCTATAGAAGAGAGCTTCTCCGAGAGCATGCAGACCGCTGACATGATATTGGCCGATGTGTCCTCCTTCTGCAAGGAGTGAGACTTCTTCCGCTTAGACCCCGTAGAAGAAGACAAAGAATGTTTGCCTTTCTTGTGTACGGGTGAACTGGTTGTAGAGCCAGCAGTCGTCGCCTGGTGAATTGGGGTGTCGGACGCCTGCCCAGGCTGCTGTAAAGATACAGCAGGATGGGGTTGAACCGCAGGGGTTGAAGCAGTCTTCTCAGAAAGGCCCAGGAGGAAGCCGAAAGACGGGGTGACATACGGAGATCGAAAACCCCGACGGCTTAGGAGGCCGGTGGGCTCTGTTGTCACGGGTGCCGGTGGTGATGAGCCCGCAAGGCCCGGTATTGTCTCTGCAGGTAGCGCAGGTAGTGTTGTCCCGTGGAGCGTCAGCGTCCTTGTCATGGCCAGGTGCCCCAAATGAAAGTGTGTCTGAAGACAATGGCACCAGGAACGATGCGGCCGGAGTAGATAGCGCTGGCAGCGTGGGCCCACTCCGGCGCATAGTTTGTGAGCCATGCCGATGTCGGGTGTTGCCCATGGTAGCTTGATGTCGACCCGCGTCACCCGTTCGAAATGCTTTGGGACTGGGACACAGAAGTGTTGCGCCCAGGCCCAGTGAGCGGGGGAATCTCAACACCGAGTGCAGCGTCACTCTGCACTGTTGTTGACTGCGATGCTTCGGTGTTACGTTGGGGAACTGAGCATACGGATATCACACGCAGTGTAGCTCAGGCCCTTGAAGCGTGGCGTGGGCTAACCCTGAACTGAACCAAAGATGGTATTGCCAGCAGGGATTAGCCATGAGATCACAAGTTCAGCAAGATGCCACTCGATCCTCCGCAGACCAACTCCTGTCAGTCAATAGGGGGAATGTGGGGTCGCAAAATTCGGAACGCTCGCACTTCATCACGAATCCCAACAAACCCAGGGTTGACCCTATGTATCGCTTGGTAGTAGCAGCGTAGAGTCAAGGATCTATAAAACGCACGCACGAAAAGAAAAATATACCACCAAAACAAGAAAATATACACATGAACTCAGAAATATAGAATGTACGTTTATTACAATACATTACGGTTTGATCAGAATGTCACAAAGGTCTGTAGCGAAACGGAAACTCAATAAATTCGAAGATGTCAAAAAGACATGTCCGTTTAGAATCATGCTAAGGAAAAGACGGACGAACATGGCGGCCATTCTGCTATGTGTCATGGGACATGAGGGCGCACTACGGTTGATCAGAAGATTTAGGGAATTGAATCAGACGCAAACGAATTTGCATATTTAGCGACTGTTTGGGGTGGGTTGAAAGCAGAAGACTCAAATCTGTCGATTGTGGTTTCAATGAGCAACTAACAACTGAAGTTCACACATGAAGGTAGGATGGTTCAAGCACAGAGGAAGGACACAGAAGGAGTTGCAACTCTGGCACTTCAAATTGTTCAGTGATGGTCGCCGCCGAGTCAGAGGAATAATAGAAAACATTCCGAAAATGCCACTACATGTATGTGCTATTTCATCACAAGAAGTGATCATGGAATCTCATAAAATACGCTTTTGTACAAATGCCATAATAAAAATGATTCAAACGAAACACAAAATCTTGTAAACGGCTGGGCTATTTTTTCCCAAAATAATTCCAGAAGAAAGAGTTCATCAAGGGCAGTGACTGCACATGTAGATTTTGAGCACATAGCGTAATGCAAGCAATTAAAGTTGACGCTGTCATGAGATCATACCAAGCACCAATAAAGGCATGAATATTCAATTTCCTATACCTCCGTACACAAAGTTTTAAGGATGTGGCAGTGACCAAAAAGTACAAAGGGGTTTTGTGGTTGTGAAACAGATGGTGCGAAGCAAGCATTTGCTGCGCTCTGGCTATGGACATACCAGGCATGCCAGAAAGCGGTAATTGGCCAGATGTTACAGTCTGGGAGTTCAAACTCTTTCCGTGTCCTTCCTCTATGGTTCAAGACATACTACAGCTGGGATGTAGCTCTTTGTTACAGATTTACAACAATGATGCACGTGTGAAAGAAAGTACATATATCACAGACTGAGTGCAAGGAACTTAATGAAATGTGAATGACAATGCATCAGTAGCAACGAAAATTGTTGACAAAGTTACGAAATAATTGCATATCCAGACCTGGAAAACATGTTGAGCTAAGAAAGTCGAGTTTGTTTAAAAGTATTGTACATGCAAGAAAAAGTTCAGAATTTGTGTATACAATCAGGAAAATAATGTAACAATTACAGCTCACAGTAAAGTTAGCAGACTTGGCTTCTGGTGATAACACACATGTAGGCAACTCACCATGCACCTCACTGACTTCTTGATGTTTATCACGTTGGCGTCACAGAAAGTGCCTCTGTACTTGGCTAGTACATTAGTGCCAACTGGAATAAAAGCCGGTTCTTCTCCACTCAACTGTTTTGACAAGAGAAAAATGTTTTTACAATAGTAAACAGTGGTGAGTGACCTCTAATATTGTGCTGTTCAGAAGCCCCAACTCAGTGACCGTCAAAATTGCACAAATGATCACATCAAACATGTTTGTAAACAAAATTCCATTTCAATGACATCACAGAACTTTGTAAGTTCCATCAGAATCTGGTTGCTACCCATTTTTACGCAATTTACATCTTGGATTGTGGGTGTGTTTGATTAGCTTACATGTGTAAGTCAAACTTACACGAGAGCATTCGTTTAGCCATCACGTGATCTTTGTGTCTGCCCTGGTGTTAGCCACCACTACCCCAGCTGGCAAGTGGGTCTCTGGAGGTTGCCCGAGTGTAATGACATCATGGATGGATTGTTCGAGCATGGACATGATGGAACTTGGCAGGGGCTTGACCTTTTTCCCAGAATGCCTTGGCGAATACACTGCAGCATTTGATTAGCCTCATTTTGAGGCTTCCCTTGCGTGTAACACTCGTGTCTTCAGGGAAGCTAATTGAACGCAACCCGTGTACTGCATTGTGGAGTTATTTAAATAAAATGAAGAAAATGATAATCTCCAAATTTAACCCATGTGCCAAGTTTGAAGTTGATATGTCAAGTCTTCCTTAAGTAATGGTGGAAAACCCACATGGCTTGATGGCCAGTCGAATGCTTGGACCACCCAAGCAGGATCCCCCCAAGCAAACGGGCAGGTTTTTGCAATAGTGACGATTCTAAAGGTAGCCACAACTGATCAGATGGCACACTGAACGGGACAGAAAACTCATGAATGGCAGCTAGCCACAGTGGATATATGTAGCCATTGTAGATGAATGGCTACAGTGACACTTACAGGTACCGCAGTGGATGACCACAGTGGACATTTGGCCACAGTGGAAACATGCCTACAACAGACGCAAGTATTAGAAGACATTGTGGCAAAGCCACTACGTTTGAACGGCCACAAATGTCCACTTCGACCCAGTTGACACAAAGCCATGGTGGACATGGCCACAATATACATCAAATACATGTACAGACAAGCCACTCTATTGCTTGGGCATCCCACCGGGCAACAATATGGTTGACACCTTCACTACTGTGGGGTACCGAGAATTACCTTTTCCAAAATCTGGTATTAAACGTACTGATTTGACTTAAGCCTTCTCCTCTGCTAGAATTTATCTGCCTTTATGCAGCAGCAATGGCCCTTTGGTAGGAATTCAGTACGTGCGTTTACGTAGGTTCAAAAGGGGATACACTGAGCATGCAAAATCAATATGCTGAAATGCTTCGTCTGTGTGGGGGCAACCAAAATGGAAATTATTCTCACCAACTTGACTTTTTCTTGTAGCTGGGGGGACCCTTCATGCTTGTAAGTCATATGCACCTGGTTGCATTTCTCAGCTATCGTCTCAAGGTTCAAATCAAACAGAGCATTATATAACCTCCCCCAGGTGCACATCACATTGGGCCATCTTTCCCTCCACTGAAACAGCATCTGTAGAGCCTCTTTGGCTGGTTTGACATGGTTCTCTCTGATGGCTTTGAGATCCACTTCCAACGTCTCCTCCTCTTGGACATGGCAAGCTATCACCTTCCAGTGGTGCTGGATAAGGGTTGCAATGCGACAAAGCTTTGATAGGGGGATCAGCTCAGTGTTCTCCCTCATTGACTGTTGGGGAAAATAATATAAGAAAACATTAAGTGTGAGGATTATCAAAGTCTTTACCGAGTCAGGTTTTAATCTTGAAGTCATGGACTTTATTCTTGAATTCAGGTAAAAATGCCAAAGCAATTGTAATAATAAGTGGCAGACAAGGCTGACCCCTATAATTGAGAGACTACTCAGATGAAAGATACAACGGGAGTGAGAAACAAATACAGTGGAACGCTGCTGTAATGAACAAGACGGGGTCCACACTAAATGTTCAGTACAGCAGTTGTTCGGTATGGCGATTTTAACTGCCGAACGTTTTGTTGCCATGTTGAATAGCGCCCTCTCTTGTCTAACTGAAGTGCACCCTCTTGTGATACCCTGGATCGCTGTTTTCGTGATGTTTTGCCATTACATTCAAGTTTACGGTTTCTAGAAATGTATCTGTTAATTCTTTTTGTTTTTTTATTTAAACTTGAGTCAAAAAAGTTGATATTATGTTTATCCTAAAAGTCGTGAAACTACTGCTCAGGATTGATCTCTGATGCATGCTGTGGCAAATCTCGGTTGATTTGTGTTTCAGCGGCGCCCTCTTTAGACTACATTGTATTAGTGCAATGCCAATGTGCACGTACATGCGGTTTTCTTCCGCACCTGATCATGTGGAGTCGGAAAACTAGTGTCTATTCAATACCGTTGACAACAAGTGGCTTTCCCTTCTAATCCTTGGGGAAATAATGGCCACTTGTCACTTTCCAACATAAAAAAAACCACAATGTTTTATCATGTTGACGTTTGGGAATTACAAACAGCAACTGAATAGTGTTCGGTAGGTTCTGTGCACAAATTATTGGGAGCCAATGGCGATGTTCGGTACAGCCGAATGTTCAGTATAGCGGTGTTCAGTATAGGGGTGTTCGGTATAGCGGCGTTCCACTGTAGACCAATCGACCATTATACTGATGATGTCACACTGTTTATGTGTTGCATTTCCATATGGTGCTATGTGGACTGTGAGCTCCCATTGGTTCCTTAGAAAAGTGCACATGTTGCCAGAGAGCGATGTCATCAGTACAGAGGTCTATTTTTGTCCCAATCTAAAAATAATAAGTGGCTAGACAGAGCCCAATAACTGAAAGTACTACCTAGATGGAAGAAAAAATGTAAGATAATAACGAGAAGGTGATTGGGTTAAACCTTATCATCATCAAAGAGCCAAAGTATCAATATAAAAATAGCAAGAGACAGGTAAATCCCAATCTCCTAAAAGGAACAAAATAACCCATGACGCATGTACTTATAAATGTACGTGACAGGCTCACAATAATTACAAAGTGACAATCACACTGTGACAGACTGCATGAAAGTGGACAATCTGAATGCCACTGAAGTACACTGAAAGGTACTTTTCTTAAATATGACCAATGTTCAACAAAGTACACGAAAAATCCTCTCCATTTGTTGACAATATCTCCACCCATAACTTACCCATGGACTCTCAACCTTTAAGTGCTGCTTGTTTAGTAGTACTGAAAAAGGCATGATCGGTTGTTGCTGCTGTAGAATACCTGGGACAGAAGCAGAAGGAAGCAGTGAAAATTCAACCTCCTACAGGTAGTGTTGTTACTGGTGGAGCAACAAGTATTTTACAATTGGCTTGTCCTTCCCCATGGCCAACCTCGTCTCTCCCCCTGGTCTACCTTGTCCCTCCCCATGGCCAACCTTGTCCTTCCCCATGGCCAACCTCGTCTCTCCCCATGGCCAACCTTGTCCCTCCCCATGGCCAACCTCGTCTCTCCCCCTGGTCTACCTTGTCCCTCCCCATGGCCAACCTTGTCCTTCCCCATGGCCAACCTCGTCTCTCCCCNCGGAATCATCTTCCTCCGTATCTTGTCTTCTCTTCCCTAATGAAGGAAATAATGGCTGATATTGGATATTCATTCAACACCAATTAACAGTTCACTTTGATTGAACAAAATAAAAAAAAAATTGAAAAAATGAGGATAATATGAATTGATGAAGCTTTCAAAAGGTATTTCTGACCTGTCAGCATAAAACGAGCTGAAAATCGGAATTTTCCAAAATTGAGATATATTGGTATTTAATTTGAATTCAAAAAAGAGAGTGCTTTCCAATGGCACGTACATGTTAAAGGTTAAAGTATAAGTTGACAATGTGACATTATTCTGGCAGCTTTGTATCTTTGTTCCCGACATTGTTTCAACAGCAGGCATGAATGAATGCAGTTGTCAAAAATGAGGAGGAAGTGGTATCCTGCAAAATATTTGGAATTATATGGAAGACAGGTTTCCCCTTCCAAACATTACAACACCGCCAAATTTACCTCCATTTAAATATGACTTTAAACCATAAAAATAGGAAAGAGCAGGATGCAACTTTACTCTCATTTTGTCGTGATGGGTCACATTTATCAAAT